ACCAGCAGGGACCCAACATCAGGAAAGAAGGAACACGAAAGGTTGAAAAAGTACCAAAGGGTTGAAAAAACAGCTGGAGCAAGGATGGTTGAGAAAGGTCAAGCAAAGCGTGATCCCTGTGCTAGAGGAGCACTCGGGGCAGCTGACGCCCAAACTGGGGGGGGACTGGCCCCCAACAGATCCCAGGAACAACATCACGAAGCCCTCAGGCCAGAAGAGGCGCAGTCCTAGAACAGCTAAGATACTGGCGGCAGAACCCTCAAGCTCCCAGGCCTCTGCTTAGGGAGGGACCCGGGGGAAAAGCTGAGGATGACACAGATACCACCCCCAAGAGCGGTGGAAGGAGGGAAGGGGTTTTTACTTACTTATTATTAGAAAAAGTGGTATATAAGTAATTTACATATATTTATATATATATACTTTTTTCTTCTCTGGCCTCTCAACGAGGCGGACCGCTCTCTCCCTCCCCTCCCGTCTCCCTTATCTTCTCCTGCTGTTGCTTTCTCAAGGTCTCGTCCTGTCTTGTCTTCTAACTTTTTTAGGAGCCTCTCACCGCATTGCTCTTTACATCTAAAAATCATGGGAATTGTCAAACTGGTCTCTCAATGCAATTGACCAGAATTTTCTCGCGAGAAGCTCGGGGTTTCGGGCTGGAACCTGTTTCTGCCCCTGAAGGAACGGTTTTTTTGGCCGCTGGCTACACGGGATGGACTCCTGGGCGAGAAGGTGGACGGGGTCGTGTGCCTGGGCGATTTCTTTCCGTTTTAGAGGACATTTTCGAGGCATCTCCTACATATTCGGAACCGTCTGATTAACAGGCTATTCTGCTGATTGGATTTTAGGCATTGCCCTGGTGTATCGGCAGGAATTCGGAAGACGGTTGTCAGCCAGTTCAAAAGCCCTTATGAAGCTGGCCCGACATGATTATGAGTGGAGCAGGGTGGGTGGGGGGGGGCTGCTGTAGCGGCTCAGACTGTGCGGTCATTAACCGCCAACATGGATAACATCTTGGAGAAGTTTGTCGGCTTTGCAAAAAAAGGAGGGGAGTGAATCGAATTTATGGAAGACCAGATTGGACAAATAACGGTTAAGTCGTGGCTCTATTGGAAATGCGACTTACTCGCTCTAACCAAACAATCATAATCTAATCTGCACTCCGGCCTCAGCGAGCAGCGGGCCTTGGCCAAGGCCGCTTGGCCTGCGCAACCAAGCTCCTCCAGGGAGAAAAATTTTCGCCGCTTGCAGGTGAGACACTTCTGCCCTATCCCTTCCCTCCCTTCCTTCACGGACACCTGTTGATTTATTTTGACTCTGTTTAGGACCGATCAAGGATGTCTTCCATGGCAACCTGCTGTGTTATCGCAATGACACCATGTGAACTGGAGCGCACTGATTTGCGAGGGCTAGACGAAGCGAACTCTCCAGGCTTACTGTACACACACACCACTCATGGGGACACTTACACATGCGCATATGCAACACACCCCTCTACCCCAATTCCACGCCTTCGCCGCTTTTTTACCCCAGTACGACAAGCGGGTTCCGCTGGCTGGCGCCTGAATTGCTGCGCCGCCGCAGCTTCCTGGGTCTTGTTGCTTTGGGTGCGCCTCCACCCGTCCTTGCCCACTTCCCCCGCGTGCAAGTTGGTTGAGTTTTTATGTTGTAAAAGTGCTGCCTCATATGCTGCTTATGTTCGCTGCAGGGTTTTTTCCAAGGTCCCAGACTGTACCTCCCCTATTAGGAGCAGAGTCTGGGGGAGCTGCCTTTTTTTTTCTCCTCCCCTCTCCTCTTGTCTCCCCCCCTTTGAGCAATTTCGTTGTACTTGTGACAATGACAAATAAAGATGATTCTGATTCTGATTCTGTGGAGCTACATCTGTAGAATATAAGGTGTTTTTGGATGCAAAGTTGGAACAAATACAGACCGGTTACGATACAACCCTTCAAGTTTTGTTTGTACAGTCTCACCCGAAATACTTACGAAGTTTAACACTTCACTGTCCCTCCACTGACTACCTCCTTCACAGCTGTCTTCCATGTTTATATTCACAGAGTGGCTCCCGCCAATGAAGAATTGTGATGAATGTTGATCTAGAGTGACTTAAAAGTCATGAATTCTGTTCACACTGATATCACATTACAAAAATCAGACCTGTATCTGATTTGGACAACATATGATGAACATTGAATAATTGTATATTTGTATATGGTGTATATTTTATGCACCAACTGCACCAGGTCACATTTCTCGTAGGCGAGAACCTACTTGGCAATAAACAAAATTCTGATCTCTGATTCTGGGGAATGAAATGTGCTCCCAAATCAGAATTTAGAAAAGATCAGATTCCATGTGATTTGTGCTGTTCACATTAAAAAACACATCTGACCCAATCCTAATATATCAAAGACTCATAGACAATGAGGCGTGTTTGAGGTGTACACACATACCCTAAAGTCTGCATTTCTACAGACTTTGCCTGAGGGAATTAAAGCATCAAAAAAATATTGGTTAAACAAACATGGGAGGACCACATAAATCCTTTAAGTGCCTTGGCTGTGAAGAAAGTCAACAATGTTTTTTTCCCAAACCCACAGTATGTTGTTGCCTGATGATTATGTGGTTATGTATTTACTACTGGCTGTACAACAAATTACCCTTCAGGGATAATAAAAATATCCTTAATCCTTGAATGTAACATGATTTGGCATTGTCATGGTAATAACGTGATAAAGGCCAAATAATATAATACAGTGATAAACTTTATTTATACATCACTTTTCAAGTGAAACTTACAAAAACGTTTACATGGTTGAACCAGGATTAAAACAGTTCAGGACCAAATCAGGTAATTAAAATAATACAGAAATACAATTAAGTAAAACCCCAAACAATAAAGATAAATACTAATAATAAAAGGCATGTTGGCAATAACAAAAGTGTGCTAGAATTAAAAACAATGTAATATTTTTTTACATTTTCAGAATTGTTGCAAAAGATATGTATTTGCTGATATGCTGAAAAGTGCTGCCCTATATGTTTATACCATTTGAGGCCTCATGCACTCAAGCACACCAGTGATGTCAACTAAATCTGTGAGGGTTCAGGGCTTAAGGCTTTAGGGGGAACATTGGGGTGGGGGCATCTGAGTCACAAAAAAGTAAATATTTATTCTATGTTATTATCAGGTATTATCTAGTGATCAATAGTTCTACTATTTATGTCATTAGTGATGTAATACATTATTTACTGTATGTATTAATATTGTTAGGTGGTGAGGTGTGTTGCATCTGTATTTTGTCTTAGATAAAGGAAACAGGAAATGGAGTGTGTTAGCACAGTTATCAAAACATAGGGAGAAAACTGGAATCACTTTCAAATCAAATCAAATATGAAACACAGATTAAAAAGAAGAAAGTATACTTCAACTTTATTTTAAAATCATCTAAAAGTGGTTGTTGTTAAAACATAAATTGTGCTTGTAACAAACAAAAAAGCAGTTTTGTGTACAGGAAGAGTTTTCAACAGGGGTTACTTTGCAAATTTCTAAGGATTGAACAAGTGGTTTTTAAAGTTTAGATTATTATTTTAAGATAGGCAATGACATATAACTTGGGTTAATCGCCACATTCAGACTGAAACTCAGCCATATTCAGTAAATGCGCACATTCTTTTATTCAATAAAATGGGACCTAAAGACAGCACATACGTAGATCAAAATCATTTCATACGAATGTGAAAATAAAACAAATAGAACGTATGAAGCATGTAACTTAATTTATGACTCCTATAAAATGACTGTACAGTATATAGCAACCATAAGCTGTAAAAAGTGAAGTTTTTTTATCTAAAGCATCTGATAAAGGTCCAGTGTGTAGGATTTAGCGGCATCTAGCGTTGTAGTTGCAAATTGCCACTTACTTGCTTCACCCTCCCTTTCCAAGTGCAAAAGAGAAACTATGGTGGTTGCAAAACATGCAAAAAACCAGAAACAGCCCCATGTAGAGTGAGTGTTTGGTTTGTCTCTTCTGGGCTACTGCAGAAACACAGCGGTTCAAGATGGCGGCCTCCATGGAAGGCGACCTGCGACATCTGCAAATAAAAACAGCTCATTCTAAGGCACATAACAGTTCTTATTTTCAGGTGATTATACACTAGTGAAAACATA